ACCGAAGGGCCCTACCGCATCGCATGGTTTCGAACCCTGGCTCTCGCTCTTACAAGACCACTGCACTACCACTGAGCCATCGCGCCTCTTGAGCCTATACCTTGAGGCCAGCAAAAAAACAAGGAACCCTAAACCAGGAGGCCTGAGATAATATATATACAGTACCTCTTGTACGTGATCATTTTAGATTTTTTTTTTCTCTCGACACTCCAGACTTCATTTATGATTCTAAAATAACTTTTATAGGTTCCCCGGCCTTCCGGCATGTCTGGCGAATCATTCTATCAAAGAGTCTGACTATTGATTTGCATTATGTAGGTTTTGTGGCTGCGATTCTTTGCCACAAGACACGCATCAAAGACACATCAAAGGGCACTTTCAGCTGTCTTTCACTTTCCCTTCAATTTGATTATGTCATTAAATTTTAAGAGTATTTATCCAGAATTTAAAAATAGGCCTAGGCCTAAATTGTGTAAGAACTGTTAATTGCGACAAAACTCTAGACAGTTTTGAAGGAGATACGTTGAAGTTTATGCTAAACGGTACCATGCGATTTTGTTAACCAAAACCTTGAATTATCCTGGTAATTAATCGATACTTTCAGAGAAACTGACTTAGTAAATGCTAAATTGTCCCGGCCAGAAAACTGAAAAACACGTTTCAAATGGCATTCATCTAGGAGCCCAACAAAGATTTGCTTACATGAGAATATGGTGGTTAATCACGAGGTACGTGAATCTAAATAATTACCTCGATTTCTTGATCATTCTTCTTCCACTAATCACTTTCTACAGCAACAAAATTATAAAATTGTTTTTAAAAATTCATTCTCAGATATCATGGTCAAATTATTTTGTCTTCATTCATTGTAATCGTGTTATTATGTGAGAATTTGTGTACATCATGAAAACTCGAGATTACCTTCAACTGACACGGAGTTGTATTGAGAAAGTGCATATATAAAACTTGATAGCAGCTTCTTTCGAAAGAAAAAACCCAAGGCAATCTCAATTAGCCTTGTGTATCACGTGACAATGACGTATTACGTAATCTGAACATGATTTTTGTGGGATTTACAATGGGGTATTGAAATTGCCCTTGAGCTGATTTTAATTAATTTGCGTTTGTCTCGAGAAAGTGGCATCGTAGATTGTGGGGGAGTCCCCAAATTTTAAAGGGGATGGGATGGGACACAGTTCCATTTCATAACAGGGAAACAAAAATAAAGAAAGAGAGAGAAAGAGAGAGAGAGAGAGAGAGAGAGAAAGAAGAAAAGGAGGACGGGTGCAGATATATTTTGTTTACATGTACCTGTGGAATGCTGCATTGGGTTATAGAGGGGGAGGGGCTTGAGACACACATGCACCCTTCAATCTGCCACGGGTAAAAAGGAAGGAAAGAGGATGGGATTTGCTTTTGCGACGTAAATTACCAGACATAATTGCATACACTCTATGCGCATACTATGATTTATGAAACGCACGTTTCGACACAAGTCGTTAATATGCAAGAGCTATTATTTTTAGAGAAATAATGGCCATGGATATCTCATATTTCATGGGCGTATGCATTACAGGGAAGAGAGACATTCAGTTTTAAGGGGGGGGGGATGCATTTTTGATGAAAGGAAGGAATTTTGTAATTTTCATTTTCATCAAGATGAATTACCTTCTTGTAGTTTGTATACTGGTTGACTAGTCTGCAAGCACAGACCCTAATTTGACACTTAATCAAAAAATCATTGTGCTTTGAAAGAAGCCTAGCCAGCCTATAGTAGTCTTATAGTGCAGACTCTCTTTTACGACTGACCAGTGTTTGTGCCTGCAAACTACTGGTTGACTCAGGCCTTCTTGTTTACATAGGATAGGACGTACTGCCCCTAAATTAGGGACTTTTAGATTCGCACGAAGACAATGGGGATTGCTACGGTCGACGTCCTTTTAATGCATTGCCTTGAATGGACGTCACACGTATCAGTCCACGCAAATCTAAAAGTCCCTAATACGATGGTGACCATTTGATGATAATACATGTTAGGCACCCGACCTGATTACTTAAATCCATCAGTCGAGATTTCTCATGTGTATATTACATGACAGTCATAGAAGATTAATGAAAACATTAGCTACAGGCTGTACTTATTTTAAAATCAATCATCATTACTATGGCCCCCCCCCCCCCCCCCAAAAAAAAAAGGGAAACAAAGAATCAGACAATTAGGACAAACAAAGAGAGTAAACAGTCAAAAACGAAAGCAGAGGCATTCATGTTATACTGGTCTCTAAGTAAATAATGGTTTGTCACATGAAAACACTCACATGTTGGTAACTACATTGTACGGCTAATGATGCAGGAAATTAATTACTTAAAAAATCTTTCAGAAACTGTAAATAGAGAGCTTTGTGCATTGACTAAATGGATTCATGCAAATAAACTGTCACTTAATTCATTAAAAACCAAATGTATGTTTTTCAGTAATAGTGAAACAGTAATGCCTGGTAATGTAGTCTTTGATCAGGTAAATATTGAAAAGGTCTCATTTATTAAATTTTTAGGTCTCCACATTGATGATAAATTGACTTGGAAGATGCATACTACTCATTTAAGTAAAGTGCTCTCTAGAAATGTTGGTATGATCAACAAATTGAAGTTTGTATTCCCAAGAAATGTACTTGGCATGTTGTACTGTTCCTTAATTCTGCCCTACTTAAATTTTGTGCTAGCCTGGGGAGCCTCAGCCAAATCCTACTTAAATAAAATTCTGCTCATTCAAAAGAGAGCAGTGAGAATTATTTCGGCAGCTGATTGGCGCGCTCACATTGACAAGCTATTTTACGAAAATAAAATGCTCAAGGGAAAATATATATACTTTCTATATCTAGGATATCTCATGCATCAGTTAGAGAAGGGTGAAGCTCCCATGGCAATAGCAAAGAATAACCAAATAAGCCTACATAAATACTCTACTAGGCAGGCTGTCTTATACCATGTGTTATCAGCTAGAACTCAGCTTAGGATTAATACACTTGCACATACTGGACCAAAGTATTGGAACTCTTTAGACTGTTCTATTAGTCTGTAAGCTCTTCTGTCTTTAAACATAAGCTGCAATTTCATCCACTGTACACCTACAGTGAATAAATCTAATATTTATTAATATTCAATATAGGTCTGGATTAGGTCTAATATGACTGGATTAGCATTGCCCCCCCCCCCACCCCGTGTTGTACATTTATCCTCCTTCCCCCATTTCTTTATTATTCTATTTTCATTATTCTGCTTCCTTTTCGTAGTCTACCATATTCTATAAATTAGTGGTAGATCTGATATTTATTTATAGTCTGTATAGGTAACTAGATTAGTATTCCTAGTCCCCCTCCCCCTGTATTGTAATCTACTTCTTTAAAAAAAAATGTTGTTGTTCCTATGTAAAGGTGATCTGTGTTTTAACAAGTTGTGCTTCCTTACAGACCACCTCTTTTCCACATTTGTTAAAGTCTTTATAATTGTTTATTGTTAATGAATGTATGCTAGTTGACGATGAACTTGTTGCTACTGTTCCTGAATGAAATGGGTTTTTTTATGCAAGTGGAAAGAAATAAATAAATCTTGAAATCTTGAATCTTTATTCTTCTTACAATTTTTAAAGCAAGGTTTTTACAATACGTGTACCTGTGGGCAATGTTTATGCAAGTCTCAATTGTATTTCTGTACACTAATGAGTCCCTGTTGAAAGATAACACGTTATAGTTTTTCTATAAATGTAATGCTTCCTGGAGAAATGTCAATTTTTTAAAACAAATTTCCGACTTGTTTTAAATTACAGACCAAGCACGCGATCTTTATTGGGTGCAAGCCAAACATTTGTTTAAAACAATTCATTATATATTACAATTTGTTTTTCTTTCGTTAAACCCAGACAAGTATCATAAGATAGCAGAACGACTCACATATCTTGCAGATCTTTTAAATGTTGACGAAACATTACTTTACTATCAGATCACAAAACATTACCTGCATGTCATATTTAATGGCTCATGCTATTACTATCCATTACTATCATATTATATTTCATGGTATCTGTCTGTGACCCATGCTTATCGACTATGTTTGCAAAATAGATTCATCAAATTGCATAGCACTATTGTGACATGTAATATACGGTACCAAAAGGATGAAAGTCGTTCAACTCACCGTACGAACCTAACAGGAAGATTAATGACACAATATTTTGATTAAACACAAGTGGCGGACAAAATAATATTGATACAGTGTATATTACAAAAATATGTACGATTTGAAGGTACTGCTTATACATACCATCTGCTGGAGAATGAAGAGGAAGATATGGAATTAAAGGTAAAATTAATTTCAATTCTGTTCATGTCAATACACAGCATTGTTATTAACTGATTAAGGTGTCAACGCACGTATGTGGCATGGTCCATGTAAGCCGATCTGATAAAGCATGGCCAACATGGAATACGATATGAAGGTTTGGTTATAACCTTCAAGAATCAACCTAAATCAAACTCACTGGCCTTGTACCATGTGTACCTCACATGCTAAAATGTGCGAAAAGTATGCTGACGCATTACATGATCTTATTAGTAAAGAATATTTCTAGACTATAGTATAGACAATACAAAAAGGTACTTTTATTGAAATTGATTTGGTTTCTTGATTCATCGAAACATTTTCAAACACTGTCTTGTAGTCGCTTTTTTTTTCTTTTCGTTTTTCGAGTTTTTCTTTCTTTTCTCATTTTCTTAAGGGGGGGGGGTGGGTATTTTTATGTTATACACTGTGCGGAGTCCATTATATCGATCCTTAATCATGGTGATAGCCACTGACAATATGGGAAACATCACTGACTAAATTTATCACCAGTGGCATAGCGAGGGCACATTCATTGAGGGTGCACCTGCTGTCATGGGGGGGGGGGGTATTGGTCTTTCGAGGTTATCATATGCGAGAGAGCAATGAGACCGAGTGGGGAGGATGTAGGAATGGGGGGGGGGTATTGTATAATCTTTTCTTCAGTTGTTAAAGTTTGTTTCCCCTTCTCTGCTATAAGATAGGGGAGGGTTGCGCTTGTCCCATGGCCCCCGTCCATATATAAACCAATGTTTGTGATTGGGATAATTGAGGATGCCATACGGGAAGGAAGCTTTGGAAGAATTTTATGTCTTTGGATGATTTCACGAGGAAATATCCAGTCACAGTCTATAAAATGTGCATTTTCCTTTTTTTAATCAAAACGTGTTCTTCGATAACTTTTGTTCCATAGTTATCACATAGGCTGCAACATTGAAGATTGACTGAAAGAATGTTCATAGAACTTCGGCTATTTTTCTTATACATGAAAGTTCGAAGTAAATTATAGATCTGTCGTAAGGACAATGCTGACTTAATTTTAATTAAAGCCCCACTCCACTACTTGTAGCTACTTACACCCTTTTTCTTATGTTAATTGAGAGCTGATTTGATGAGATAACCACCTGCCAGTGACCATGCAGGGAGGTCTAATCCCTCCTGGCCAAACTAGTACAGATAGGCTTTAAATCCATGAAGAACTCTCCAAACGGGTTTGCTGATAAATAAATAATAACAATCATGAAGACTGAGGAATAAATGGCGCTCTCTCCATGTAGAAAAGTGGGAATCAATCTTTAAAGGAGGTAAATCCACAAAAATTTATAGTAAGATCCACACTAATATATAGTTGAATTATCCTTTTGTGAGTGGATTTATTTATTAAAAAATTATCCTAATGATACTCACGTTATGACTTCAAACCTCGCTAGAAAAAGGGAGAAAGAGAAAATTATTTCCACTCATATACACTTAATGTGTGAGAAAGATCAACCCAACCTTTTGGTTACAATAAATGAATATATAAATAGATGAATGAATACAAAAATAGGCAATGTCGTAATGTAATCCAATTTATTAAATAGGTCTTTGTAAGGGGCCTCCGTATTTCAATAGTTAGAATATAAAATTGCATACGTAACGTGTTGTTGTGTAAGGTAAACCAGAATGTTTGCGCTACCTAGCAACAACTAATGGATGCAATTCGTTCGCATTCTAATTATTGAAATACAATTTCATATATAGCAATTGAATGTAATAGCTCGTTGCTACTAGTAAAATTGTATACATATTGAATACATATTGAAAATTATTCATTGAGCTGATCGGCGAGGGTTGACTAGCAGAATATCAAAGAAAAAGACAATTTTCGTAGTGTAACCAATTAAATGCATACGTCTTTGTGAAGTGCCTCAATACATATATTTCATTCACCTTTATCTAATAATTGCATTATAATAGTCAGAATGCAAAATGCATATAGAATGTGTTGCTAGGCAGGGCAAGCCATACTGTTTGTCCTACCTGGCAACAACTAGTGTTTGCAGTTCGCATTTTGACAATTGGCATATTTTATTCGTAACAGATGAAAGAAATAATTCGTACCGAGGCACTTCACGAAAACGTATGCATTATATTGTTACATATCGAAAAAGGTCGGTTCAAACAAATCAATGCATATATCTACACCTTTATACAGAGATACGTGCGTATTTCGGGAATATGATACTCGTATGAACCAGGAGATCGTATCTCCTTGCTCATATTATTACGCTATTTTCTTTACCTCCCCACTCGCGATGGGAATTACAACTTTAGCGTGTTAGTATTGTTTGTTGACAGATTCATGGTTTCTATGTGTACAGCCACAGATGTATCCAAAGGAATCCTATCAATTTAATAGCATCCCTGATGATGAAAACAGATCGATCCTTGAATAATGCCCCCCCCCCCTCCCACGGCGGCGACTATAGGTCCGACCATGGACCTCCACGGCCGACCACCTAAGCGTCGTCTTTTGTTAAAACTATTGATGTCTCTATTTTAATCGTAGATATAGGCCCTAGGTCTTTCAGCTACTTGTTGTAATCGTGTTAATCGATGTGCTCTTCACTAAGAATTAATACTAATAGGCTTATTCACACAAAGCAAACACATACAAAACCACCTTGCAACCTTGCAGGAGGGCTATCAATCCATCTTTATGTCCAGATTTGGGGGCATTTATCAGAACCATTGTGTCCCTTTTTAGTTTTCTCTTCATTTTTTTTTTCTCAATGAAAAGAACTGTATTAGAGACAAGGTAAACACGTTGGGAGCCATTAGTAAATCTGTTCAGTTCAGTTTCATTTCGTTTGACCAAGGCAACGCAGAATTGAGAGTGCCCCTTTTTAATTTTCTCTTCATTTTATTTATTTTTTCTCAATAAAAAAGAACCATAATAGAGACAAGGCTAACACGTTGGGAGCCATGAGTAAATCCGTTCAGTTCAGTTTCATTTCGTTTGACCAAGGCAACGCAGAATTGTGATATGATATGCGCTATCGTGTCGTACACAAAATGTAACTAAAAATACACTTTTATGCAAGTTACCGGTAGTCGGAGGTGAAGTGACCCTTCTGTTTAGTCGACCTATATGTCTATTTGCTGTAGGTTCCGGTTTCCTTACAACTCCATACATACACTAACAAAACATAGTACCACTACACACCATTATTGCCCGCCACACCAATTACAGAGACGAAGGAAAAATGAGGGATAGAGAAGGCGTCCCCATACTATTCTTGTTCTCTACGTAAATTTCACCAACTAGAATTAATAAAGGAATAAAAATTGGGTAAACCTCAGGCCTGATGTCTGGACTTGGTGGAGGTGGTAGTTATTTTACCTGACTGCTAAGAAAATAAAAATGCTTGTTAGTAAGCAACCAGACGGCCGACGGCTTTAGGTCCTCTCCGAGGGACCTGGTAATGAGGATTAATGCCTTACCAAAGGGCACTAGCGCATCGCCTTGGTTTCGAACCCGGGTCACCGGATTACGAGATCATTGCTCTACCGACTAAGCTATCGCGCGTCCACTTGAAAATTATTTGAAACTGATGAGCTTCAAATAATTAAGATATGATAACGCGTTGCGTTGCAGTGGCTATGGTAGTCGTTCAGGAAAACTGAGGTACATTGGCCATTTTGGAATAGTTGGCAGAGGTTGATTGGTAACAACCCTTGGCTCTTAAACGAGAGGCACTGGGTTCGAGGCTTGCTCACATTCTTGGACGAGACGTTTGTCCCTCTCGACCCAGATGTATTAACTGAAACATGACAATGCTGGGGGTAATAATACTAACAGCGATAAAACTAAGCAGGCTACCTTGGGTAAACTACGTCCACATTATTTACTCGTACAATATACAGTGATCCATAGGCCCACTCGTTCTCACAAGCTTTAGGTTGTTGAACTATAGAGAGTGGAAATCGATTTAAATCAATCAATCACTCAATTGAGTAAATCTATAAAGGGTCATTGAAAGGGTGTGTGTACATGACGAAACAAATTAATTGAAATTGCTATTACCAAAGAAGAAAAAAGCCAGTCACTCACTCAATAGTGTCTGCCCGTGAAGTCTAGCAAGTAAACGGGTTTCCTTGCATAATTTGAATATTAGGACACTGCTAACGTTTAAATTTCACAGATAGGACATGCATGACATATTCTTAATTCCTGCAAAGTTCTACAGAATTTGAGGTTGGCTGCAACGGGGACATAGTAGCTTTAACTGAAGGGGGGGGGGGCCTTGCAGGATGTTGAAATCAATAGCACACCGATCATTCAAATGATTGTCTTTGCTGAAACTCTAGCCATCTGTAGGCGTATATTAGGATTCATACATTAATCAGATTACAAGAATTGATTCGTTTCAAATAAATTTACAGGTAGCTGGCACCAGAATAAACATTTTCCATTCTAATCGTATACTTCTCCTTGCCTACATGATGTGAAAATCAATGGAATTCGATCCGTTAGCCTTGTTCCGTAAATATAAATTGATTTTGCTCATCATTTTAATTATTCGCGTGAATACCGTAACAACTCATGTGAACACTACGTTCTGTCATTATAGCTTGTTGAATTCAACATCTTTCCAACTATTGCCTTTGCTGAAGCTGAATATTTGCCTGGGGAGTTATAATTGAATCAGTTCACACCATAGTATAACTTTCATTTTAATCATAGAGTCACTCCCTTACTATATAGAATGTAACAATTTAAAAAAATCGATCATTTAATCGATTAGTCTAGTTTGATCTGTATACTATAATAGATTTTGCAAAGCGCACAACAGTGGCTCTTTTTATTCGCGTGAATGCCGTTACGCTCTGTTTATACAAGGAGGTCCTCACTAAAATTCTATGAATTAACCAAGGGGATTAAAACGAACAGTCGAATTTTTTTTTTAACAAAGGTGTAAATAGGTAGTTGGCCAAGGTGGAAGCAAGGATCCTGATGGACAGAGGGAAATCAGGGCTTTATGCAGTCACAGAATTAAAAATAAAACTTAAAACTGTTGAAGGCCCAATTACCCGATGATAATCGGATAATGGTGAATACCCCCTTCCTCTCTTTCCCTCTTTTCTCTCTCTCTCTCTCTCTCTCTCTCTCTCTCTCTCTCTCTCTCTCTATCTATCTCTCTCCATATCTCCCTCTCTCTTTCTCTCTTTCTTTCTCTCTGTCTCTCTCTGTCTCTTTTTCTCTCTCTATACATGTATATATATATATATATATATATATATCTTTTCTCTCTATATCTCTCTCTCTCTCTCTCTCTCTCTCTCTCTCTTGGTTTGTGCTGAAATACACACGCAAACAATTTCTCTCTTTTTAGTTTGTAAGTATCAGATATATATTCCAAAATAGTATCACCTGTGATATTATGATGGAAATGTTGATGTTACACCATATATATTAGAACCTCACATTTAATAATTTTTTGGGACACAACAACGACGAATTTGCACGTCTTATTCATTACCATACATCAACATGATCATGGTCAAACTGGCAATGCGAGGATTCCCGTATTATTATTGATTTGAACGCTCAGCACTTCTCAACTTTTTATTGTCAGATATCAAACTTCTGCAACCATTCACTCACCCTTTTCTTTGATATTTTGTATGATTTCTGTTTTTGCTCCGACTTCGATCAACCTTATCTAAAGTATTACGCTCTTCATAAAGTTTACCAAATATTTAGGTTGGCTTAAACACATTTTTGGCTTCCTCTGCAGTCTAATAGCGCAGGTTTATCGATACCGTTTATCCGTTTAATACCATTATAATAACGATTATCAATCATTTGGCGAAATGACCCGAGGCGAAATGTCATCCTCCCCTCCATTTGCCTTTGATTTTTTATACACATGCTATTGGGCTAATAGGTTAAATGACCCTGACGGGATTAAAAGTTTTTTGTTTACAGAATTACGGTTTCTAAACTAAGATTAATGACCAATTCACAGAGCCGACTTAATACCTTAACACCCCTTTTATTCTAAATACAAATAAAACTCACTTAAGCATATAAATGATAATGTTTACAATTCTTTCCCTGTGTGATAACAAATACACCTTGTAGTCTCTAGGGGCAGGATAATGTACGTAAAAGGTACAACTTTGTACTTCGTAATAGGTTAAATGACCCTGTCGGGATTAAAAGTTTTTTGTTTACAGAATTACGGTTTCTAAACTAAGATTAATGACCTATTCACAGAGCCGACTTAATACCTTAACACCCTTTTATTCTAAATACAAATAAAACTCACTTAAGCGTATAAATGATAATGTTTACAATTCTTTCCCTGTGTGATAACAAATACACCTTGTAGTCTCTAGGGGCAGGATAATGTACGTAAAAGGTACAACTTTGTGTATTAAAAAGGTGTAATGACCCTGTAATCTTTGCATTAAAATGGTAAATCGTTGAGCTACACGTAGCATTACATCAGGTATATTTTGCAGAGTCCTTTTTCCATAATATTCACTTATCGATATTACAGACCTAATATATGGAATAATGATTTCTCAATTATAGCAGATCGTTAATGTACTGAGGACATCATACGCTATGAAAAAAGAAAGGGTCGATAAGAAAATAAATTAAAACATACATAATTTGAAATGAGGACGGGGTCGTTGCATTGGCTAACATGCTAAAAAAAGAAAGAATTGGGATATTGTTCGCCTTTCAGGTAGCCAGCAATATGGTTATTGTTATACTCCTATTCGTTTCATTTTGAGTACAATGGACACTCATTGCGAGATGCTCTCGAATACGGTTAATTGGGTAGTGAGTAGGGAGTGAAGAGAAAGACAGGACAGAGAGTGAAGCGAAAGTGATTAATAAGAATAGAGAGACGGGGAGAGAGAGAGAGAGAGAGAGAGAGAGAGAGAGAGAGAGAGAGAGAGAGAGAGAGAGAGAGCAAGCGGGGGGGGGGGGGGGGGGGGGAGGGAGAGAGAGAGAGAGGGGGGGGGACAGAAAGTGATGATGATCTAGAGAGAGAAAGAGAAAAATATTGATAGACAGAGAGAGAGAGAGAGAGAGAGAGAGCGCTTGAGAGAGAGAGAGAGAGAGAGAGGAGAGAGAGAGAGCGCGAGAGAGAGAGAGAGAGAGAGAGATAGGGGAAGGGGGAGGGAGAGAGGGATATAATGATAACGATAACTAATAGTCATCTCTGGTACATTGTCACTCATGGCACTCCATTTTTTTATAGAAGAAAAGAGAAAGGTGAGAGGAGAGAGGGGAGAGGGGGAGGGGGTTGAGGGAGAGAGAGAGGAGAGAGAGAGAGAGAGAGAGAGAGAGAGAGAGAGAGAGAGAGAGAGAGAGAGAGGAGAGAGAGAGAGAGAGAGAGGGGGGGGGGGGAGCGAGAGAGAGAGGGAGAAAGGGTATTGTTTACGGAGTACAAGTAAACAATAAAAGAACCAGGACACTGCTACTCTGATCATGCTGACATCATATTAAATATCTCTAATCAATTTTCTGCTATTGAACAAAGATGCCGGTAGCTCTATTCACATGTTTTAAATGAAGTAAAAGAAAGGGAGGAAAAAAAAACATATTGCAAAAAATGGCACAGCTGTTGTAAAGATGATGGGAACACGATTTGTGTATGATTGATTATTGGAAGGGGATTGGCTCGTGATTTATTACTCCCAAATTAATTGCATTGATGACGAGAGAAAAAGGGAGTGAAATGAAAAGCATACACAAAAGAAGAACCCGAACCTTTTAAGTTGTTTAAATTGTGATTTGATTTTGATTGTTTAGTGTATGCAATTTTAAGTAGTTTTTATGTAAATTTAGGCTATTCCTTTCCAATTTGGTCGATTGATCATTTATTTCCCGTCTACACTAGTTTGGCTAGGGGGATTAGATCTCCCTGCAAGGTCACTGACTGGTAGTTATCTCATCAAATCTGCAGCTCTCGATTAACATAGGAAAAAGGGGATCATGGGGGACCAACAGGCACCGTTTAGGCATTGTTTGCTATATAGAGGGTGCAAGTAGCTATAAGTAGTGCAGTGGGCATTTAAGGCATATCCATATCTTGTCAAAAGGGCGAATCTCGGCTTTTGGGGGAATATGTTTTAACAAAATGAATCTCATGAATCTAATGAATTCCTTGCTTTGGGTGGTAGATGGCGCTGTTGAAGTATCTGCTATCTCGATTGGTTGATTTGGTGTGCCAGCGTCTTTTTTGATCTGATGAAAAAGCCAAGAAGAACATTATCATGTTCATGTAATATAGTTAATTATAAATCAGCAATAGTGGCACATGCAATATCGTATACCTTGCAGTATAAATTTAATAAAGAGAAATGTATGTATCTAACATTCTTGGAATCATATCTTTAAAAAAAAAAAAAAATGAATACAGCCTGTGTGGTTATCTGATGTTATATAGCTGTAATACCGTTATTACGTCCATTGATATTTGTAATTATAAACACATTAATCCTGTAATAAAGATAAGCATCGATTGTGATGTAATTTTTTGTTTCTTGAAAATTAGGCTAAAGCATAATTTTTGCTTATTTTACTCAAGCTGACACCCTGATGTCCTTTCTTTTGATAACTAGGAAATTAGCCTAGCGGATTTAATTCCCTTTTATAAAGGATTGGTATCCTCTTTATTCTCGGATTCTTCTGATGGATTTACTGTGTTATTATGTCCCATTTGCAGCCAACATCAAATTCTGTATAATTGCGGGAATTATGAATATGTCACGTATGTCCTTACATATATGGAATTTAAACGTTATCAGTGTCCCAGTATTCAAATTATGCAAGGAAACCCGTTTTTTCTTTCTAGACTTCAAGCCCTTTCATTTTGAGGTAAGTTCTGAATTAATATTATCTTTCGAATGCCGTTAGAATTTATCGTTTATTCGTTTTAGGGCCTGCAAATGGGATATAGTACCTTTAAATAAATAATTAAATAGTATTTATAATATGAGATTTTTCGATACAGCCTTTAAGCAGTAGAAACACTGAAAACTAATTTTCAGTCAGCTTGTCGACAATTAATCGAAAACAATAACTAATGTGAATGCGGAGAGGGGTCCATCTTGCCTTTCTGAATGTTATTCCACATTACTGACATCTTGTTCTCTACTTTTCCTACTCCCACAATCCAGATGACTTGAATGAATTCTTGCAGCAGCTTCAAATTTCCAATTATTATTCTTCGTGAAGTCGGAATGAGCAACCTGATCTTCTAGCGACTTTCTATTTTCGGGGGATCTTCTGCCCTTTAAAGGCCCACTGTACTACTTGTAGCTACTTGCTCCCTCTATATAGAAAACAATGCCTAATCGTTGTCTGTTGGTCCCCCATGATCCTCTTTTTCTTATGTTAATTCAGAGCTGAGTTGATGAGATAGCCACCTGTCGGTGACCTTGCAGTGGGGTCTTATCCCTCCCACAAACTAGTACAGATGAGCTTTAAAACAAAACAAATTAAAAGAGGGAAGGAAAAGGCGTCCGTTGTATTTCTCTCACTGTTGCAAGCCATTCAACGGTTAGTCTGCAGTTGCAAACTCTTAACTGACACTTGAACACACAATTAAATAAAGTGTTTGGCAGAGTCTAGCTCTGCCTGTCTCTGACTTTGTCAGGAGCACTTTAAGTACAGATCCTATGGGGTGCGCTAGACCGTGCAGTAGGCATAGTCTCTTCGTTCAGGCACTGTGTACACACTATTACTGACATGGGGTTCGTATCTTCAAACTAAGAACGGTCTAGGTTTACATTTGGATGTTGTTTTGGTCATGGACTAGGACTCTTCAGAGATGAGAGAAAGGAGAGAGTATTCGAATAAACATGAGCGACGTCGGATAATCCACGTTAGGAGGGTGATGGGTCTGAGGACACGGGGAGGTTTATGGCAGGTACTCAGTGCCCTCCAGTTCGATCTATACAATTTTGCTACTATACATCTAATTTGGGAAAAGATGGATTGTTTATATATATTCATTTATGTAAGTTAGTTAGATGAGTTAGCTATTTAGCTATGAAGTTATTTTGTATTGATTTCTTCATGAAAATATTTATTTGTATACTTATTTATCTATGTACGTATTTATTTATGTTTTTATTTACTCGTTCATAATTTAATCATTTAATAATAATCCTTGTTGGGGTGGGGTTCAAACACATTATAGAGCAAGAGCCAATCGTTCCACATAACCGAAACACTTTGTGGAGATCATTCTCTGTTCTCGTCTTCACAAAATGCTGTATAAATGATTGGAAGAGGATTATTGACCGTTATAGATAACTGACTGACTGGCACGCGACTCTGATCGACTTTAAGTGGGGTACGGAGATAGGATTACAATTCCAACACCCTCAATAACTGAATAAACTCAATTGGATTACAACAGCCACAAAAGCCAATAGCGAGAACTCCATTAGTGATTTAAGTGGCTAATGCGGTACACAAAAGAAACAATCAATTCTGATAAAGTGTAACTAATCCCTGGATAAAGAGATACGAAGGTCTGTTGAATGCGCCGATTAAGTAGACCACTTATGTTAATCCCCCAATAGGTTTAGCAGTCCATTGTCGTGGTTTAGTGAGTGTGAAGTGGGTTTTGGCAGAGGGCAAAGGGTGCGGTATACAACGTCCAAGCACTCAATAGAAAGTAATTTGGCCCTGGATCTTTGCACGAACTTGAACCATGGTCAATAATTATTAATCTAGTGACCATTTTAGACAAAAAAACAATATGATGATACACCTGTATGTCCTTCCTTGCTAACATGACTAAAGCCAAGTCTTGTCGTTGACATAGCGATGGCATTGATTTTTTGTAGTATTTTTTTTTTTGTATTGTACACTGTAAAACTAAACATATTGGCCCGAATTCACAAAGGAAGGTTTGTCGACAAACCAGGTTTTCGTACGTAAAATGACGCGTTTTGACGCGGATTTTACAAACCTGGTTTAGGAGGTTTGGCGAAACAAAAGGAGGTTTGTTTGTCGACAAATCTCCTTTGTGAATTAGGGCCATTGGGTCCCAACGCAAGAGGAATAATTATGATTTCCATCTCTTATTGCATATTACCTTGTTCAATTATTGCCAAGATAAGGGAATACAAACCATTACTTCATCACCATATTAGGGTTAGGAAAGAAATTGCCCCCCTTTTTGTATCTTATCAATTTACCCCCCCCCCCCCCCCCGTTGTGTTTTATATCAAAATTATTTATGGTATCCTTTTCGTTTTATTTGCTTTAAATTCTGCAGTTCTGTTTCATTAACTGTAGCTGCATATAACGCAAGATGGCGCTACACCTGCTTATCTCTCTTTCCCAGCACTTTAACTCTCCCTTTTTTCAACAACTTAATTTTTGTTTGGTCCTCTCGTGTTCCCCTAAATTTGCCTTAAACAATGCTTAACGAAAACTGAACTGAACAAGTGACATTGCCAAGAACAACAACAACAACACCTTCGTTCTTTTGTCTTCAAAGCTTTTGATGAAATAGGGTGACATACGCTCCGTAATACATCAAATTTTAGAGACAACATTAAAATGAAAAGAACACAATGAGATGATTTATTTTCTGCATGTTATATTCATGTTTTAAGTGTGGTTGGATGATGTTCGATCTGATGGTCTGTGACTGGTTTATGTTGGCAGCTAATGGGGAAATGCATGTTAGTTATTACTGGCAATGTCATGTGACGGTATATCATCTATTGTTTAGACAATCATCGACGCCCATTTGTCTTTGGAAATTCCTCCTGTAAACTAGCTCCCATACGGTGATCATTGTCGAGATGATATATATATGAAGCGAATTGCCTGTCATTAATTGAATCACTGCTTTGGATAAGCGAAGCACGCGTCGTCTATTTCTGGATGGGAATCGTAAATAATCTGAAGGAAGCTATCCGCTCTTCGTGGAAGATGGAAAGTGTAAGAGAGGGAGAGAGAGAGAGAGAGAGGGAGATAGGGAGAGAGTTATAAATATAGTGAGAGTTAGTGAGAGAGAGAGAAAAAGAGAGAGAGAGAGAGAGGGACAGATTGAAGGGGGAGGGGAGAGGGGGGGGGGGGGACAAATAGGGATATAAAGATATAAATATAGCGAGAGAGGGATGTTGAGAGGAACGGAGAGAGAGAGAGAGAGAGAGGGAGAAAGAGAAAGAAAGAGAGAGAGAGAGAGAGAACGAGATAGAGAGAGAGAGAGAGAGAGAGAGAGGGAGGGAGAGAGGCACGAGGGGGCGAGACGGGAAAGTGTGATATGAGAATGGGAGAAGAAAAGTGACAGACGAATGTTCTCGAGATTAAATGAATAATGGCAAGTACATTTGTAAAGATAGCAAACTCGTTCGTCTATCTGTTAAGTCTCATTGCCGTGTTCTACGAGTGAAACATTTGTCTCTCTTTAGAATTTTCGTCCAATTTTTGTTGCATAATTCAATCTTGATTCGTCTTCATTTCTGATTCTTCAATTCATTATTCCACCATTTTTATGGCAGGTAATGCATTCGAATTTACCCCCGAAATGGGGCTAGCTGTATGGATGGTTCATACATTAAACCAATGGAATGAAGATGATGCAGTAGTCTGTGAGTTTGATTTAATATTTGTTCTTAAAATGAAAGAACCCCCAGAACATATGATTCTGTGTGAATGTTAAACAAATTTTATATAGGAATTAAGAGCAGATTTGTTTTGGTGATTTGATGAAGTCGTAATCGTATTTGTATTTGTATTGAATCAAGGAATTAGAAATACATTTGCATGTGGCTAAAATCTACACATACAATATATTAACATCAAAGAGATACATAAATGCAGCTTATCTGTCAGAGTTTGAATTCCTTGGTCTAAAACATTACATTTTATTTGAGACATGCAGGTGATAAAATTAAAATAAGCTAGTAAAAATACAAGTAGATACAGTGTATATAGGCCTACATTTTTTTTTTTACTAAAATGCAAAATGAATGAATTAATAAGAACTATATAAATGGACAGATCTATATATTGTTAAGTAAACAAACAAGCAAGTGAATAAATAAATATATAAATAAAAAAATAAAATAATAATAATTAAAATAATACATAATAACAAATTAAATAACTGAATAAGCACATTGATACACACAAATATGTCAAGGAATCAACTAAGACAAGATGTTGAACTGGTAATGTCAGAATACCATAATCGCAACCTTAGGACTATTAAAACTGAAATATAGATACATGTACATGTATAATTATACGAAATGACAACATTACAAATAACAGAAACCAACATACTTCACAGCCTACATTCTCTTTTGGTATTGGTATAAACCGGACGGGAAAAGGATTATGGAATGTTGAAGATTTCAAAGCTCCACAGCTTGTTAATCGGGGGGGGGGGGGGGGGGCGTTTCACAAAGCCTTTGTTCAATGACAAATGACAAAATCAGTGACAAATCTGCTGATAACCAATCAGAAGCAACGATTTTAGTAGCTTGTAACAAAAACTGTCATTTGTCACTGATGACAAGTTTGTGAAACGCCCCTGATTGATGAAAGGAGCTATATGACCGTGACAAAAGACGGACAGCAAGAAAAGGTGTAACCCCGTTAAATGTGATTAAACATCGGTATGGAGATAATGATGACATTAGACACCAACCCATCAAGTATTTAGGAGCGTGTCATACTCGAGGTTTATGCAATATTTTAACGGAGATTGATGGCCAGCATAACACTGGGAAGATAGCCCAGAAGTGGCTTAAAGGGATCCGGTAACTTTGTCTCAGATTCTGAAACAAAATCCTGTATTTGGAATGATAATTATAATCATTGAGGTCAGTCAGAAATCCCATGCCTTTTAATAGCCGATCGCCTGTCTGATTATCAAGACATTTATGATTGGAATTACAAATTTTAACAACTGTCTGCCAAGCGGTTTTCATAACATTACAGTCTATTGAGGGAAACGAGTATGGTAGAACCGGTCACTCAAAGATTTTTACTTTTTTGAGGCACTTCTTGATCATTTTGAAGCTCAATTTTGTTTAGGGCTTCAATATTACACCATATCACAGACACTGCAGATTTAACATTGTTAAACGATGCCTTTAATGATTAGATGTGATGAAAGGGATATCACGTTCGTTTTCTTTCTTCTTTCTGTTCCGTTTAGTGCGGAAGGATGTCATTGACGAATAAAATACCTCGTAAAAAAGGGATTACTGATCAAATTATGTCATGAAATAGCTTTATAAGTGGGGACCAGTTCATGTCACATGTTGTTAAGTATGTGGACGGCATGTGACATAAAGAAAGACTGGGTCAATTTAATTTTAATGATTCCAAAACCTCAAAGTATACGCCGATTCACAAACTCTTTAAATGTAAACGGGGGATTGAGTTCTCCTACGATATATAATGCGATGACTTTTGTTGTTGTTGAATTTATTTTTCCTTATTTTCTTTACGGTTCTGTTTACTTGAATATCATGATACCAAGGTCGCATTAAAACGATTGCTTTAAAAAAAATAACCTTCCTATTGAAAGATAAATAAAAACCCAAACACCAAAGTATACGCCATTTAATTTTCAACCTCTTTAAATGTAAACGGGAGATGGAGTTCTCCAACAATATATAATGCGATGACTTTTGTTGTTGTTGAATTCCTTATTTTCTTCACGGTCCTGTTTACTTGAATATCACTATACGAAGGTCGCATTAAAATGATTGCTTTTGAAAATAACCTTCCTATTTAGAAAGAGAAATAAAAACCCAAACACCAAAGCATACGCCAATTAATTCTCAAACTCTTTAAATCTAAATGGGAGATTGAGTT